CACCTTTTGATCTCTTTGTTTTCTGTCCCTAGTTTTGTCTCAGTCCTTATTATACAATACTAAGGAGGAAGTTTTTACTAAAGTATCAAGTGAGATATCTGGAGCAAAAGCTATCTTTTGTAGCTCTTTTTTAATATCTGGGGTTGACTGGGTAATAAACATGTCTTTAAGCAAAATCTATCCTTCTATTGATTGTTTGGTTTTTTTTTTTTTTTTTTTTTTTTTCCAGTACCAGGAATTGAACTCATGACCGTGCGCTTGCCAGGCAGGTGCTGTGCCACTGAGCTAAATCCCCAGCCCCCTATCCTTCTTTTGAATCGGGAACTATGGGCATATGTTTTACCAGTGCCTCTAGTAAATGTTCTAAGAAAGTAGAGGGGTTTTATCTTTTCCTGATAGATAGCTGAAAATTTAACATCACTACAGGGCTTGGTTTTAGTCCTTCTTCAGACCTTCAAGAAAACACACTTGAAAATGTCTCTTGCTCCAGTCTTTTGTCTGGCTGTTAGGCCACAGGAGTCTTGGGTAGGGACTGCTTGGACTCCAGTGGGAACTGGTAGCTCCCCTGGCTGTCTATCTTCTGGTTGTTTAGAATTTGACAATATGTTTATCCACAAATGTAATAGCAGCTTGTAGTGCTGCTTGTCTCTCATTAGAAGTTAATGTTCGATTTAAGAGTAACATTACATCTTTCCAATCTAGCTCATAGGTCTGAGTGAGGCCTCTAAAGAGTTCAATGTACTTATCAAGGTCATCTAAAAATTTTCCAAGATCTAACTTTGTCTGTTTTAGATCACTGAAGGAAAAAGGTACACGAACTCTGGAAGTTCCAAATTGTCCATTTACTTCTTGTAAAGGATACTGTCCTTGAGGAGCTTGCATAAACTCAGCTAAGGATGGGTATAGCCCTGTAGAGGCCTGGATTACAGCTGGTTTAGAAGCCCCATCCTCTAGACTAGAAGGGCAAGTAGGGGAAACCTTAGATTCAGTAATGGTGGGTGAAGCTTTCATTAAGGCTGTCTTGTCCTCAGGCTCCAAAGATTGGGGAGGAGCAGTCTCAAGCTCCGGGATAGTGAATGTCTTAAGAGTCTGATGTGTCTGGTTTTCCTGTGGCTCACATCTACATTTTGAAACTAAATAAGGACTACTTCTAAATGCAAAGAAAATCTGAATACAAGGCATGTCTGACCATTTCCTTCCTTTTTACAGTATCTTTCTAGTTGTAAAATAGCATCATAATTAATATTTGCTTTTGCATCCCATTCTGCATCTAGGGAGTCTCTCTAAAGGAGTAAGAGCAAACATCTTCCAGTGACTTTGACTGTGAGCATCCCATATCAAAATGGAAAGAGTTTGGGCATCCTTCTTTATTTCTAATTGATTTTTATACCCTCAGAGGTGTTCCTTGAGTATGTTCCAGTCCAGATCAGGTGGATGCCATCTGGACAGATCGGAAGACAAAACTTAACCAGCCTACCCACCCTTGAACCAGTGAGCAGTTTTATCCTCCCAGGAAGCTCATGAACTGTGTACTTACTCCTACTGGACATTTATAACCATAAGTTGCAACTGGTCTGGTGATAGGACTGTCTAAAGAAGGAAGCATAACTTTGTAATAAACTATTGATTTTTATTCTTTTGGAAGAGGGCATATATAGAAGATGAGTTGGAAATAGAGCACTTCTCAGGCTAAAAGGAGATCACCTCTAGAGATAGATAGAGCTAACAACTGACTGGAGGAATTATGCCCTGTGCACTAGGGAAAAGAAGTCTCCAGATACTTGTGTTCTCCATCTAATCACCTAGGCAACCTTTCCTAGCAACAGGGCAAGACTATGTTTTATTTAAATTTTGAAGCTCACAGGTTAAACTCATATTTATCTTCTAGCAATCACATTTTATATGTTGGTAAAGGCACATTAGTTAAGGCTGACTAAGATCTCTTATTCTTAGCATAAGTAAGGCACAAATGTGAATCGTGCCCCTGCTAGCTGCTATGAAATGTAAATTGTTGCAAGCTGCCTCACCCTAATTTCCAAAGGGAGGGATAGTTAAGTGATTTACCTGAAAAGCTTAGGGAGAATTTCTAGTTTACTAATAGAGAGATAAGTACAATAGGTACAGGGAGATTTTTCAGTGGTCACGAGCCAGTTTCCAGTGAGGAACCTTTGGGTATCTTCCAGAGAGTAGCCCTGGCCATGACGCATGTTATTCTCAGTTTCTTTGGGCCCACACAACCAGAGATCAGTTTCCAGAAAGGAATGCAGCTGTCTCTGTGATCAACATTCCATCAGCCATTGGCTTCAATGGTGATTCACCAAAGAGACGCTGGGGAAACCTGTCCTCTGCCTTAAGAGTGGCAGCTGCTCTAAGAGCGTTTAACTAGCTGGCAGAGTAACCACGGTTTGTCAAAGTTCTATGAGGGATAGTTAAAAGCCTGAATAAGATCACTACCTAGCACTTTATAATTTATAGTAAAGGTTTTAAAGTCCCCAACTTATTGTCATTTTTCTTATACACATAAATGATAACTAGAAAGAAGAGGAAATGTCAGAGATCTTCCCTTAGACTAAATGTGTTTTGGTCCCATAAGTGTGCTGCTTTGGAGATAACTCCTTCTGGTGTCACCCAGAAGTCGGTTTTTTCCACTGTGTCTCAGGTTCAGCCTCACAAGGGAGACTTGCCCAGAAGACTAAGCTGGGACATGGCTTTTATGTGTGTTCTCCTGGACAGGAAAAATTCTGATGTCTCATCTGACCCAGAGACAGGGTGTATATTCCTCTTCTAAGATGACTTACCTGTCTTAGGCTTTAGCAAATGCTCATTTTCTATGGGCTTCACTTAGTTGCAACAGTCTAGAGTTCTTTGCTTTCTAATTTTACATGCCTCTAAAAAGGAAAGTACAAAGAGATAGCAAAAGATTAGGAGTAAGGCCATAGAAAGGAAATTGAAGCAGAACAGGCTTGACATTTCCTCTAGAGGGCAGAGGAGAATCAGAGCCAGTTTGTCCCAATGAAACTTGTCCTCCAAGTCTTAAGAATGGTGATCGACCTAATGTTCTTTAGTTGGTGGAAGGAGTCCCTAGTCACGTATATTTTCTAAGTCTGAGCTAGATTTAAAAAGACCTATTTTACAGAAGTTTATATTAACATATACTAGGGGGTGTTCTAACATTACCCTCCCTAGTGCTATTGTCTAAATAAAGTCAAGCAAGGAATACCAATAAATTTAGCAACTAGTTCAAATGCAATATATACAAGAACAAAGCAGGAATAAAATGTCCCATTAAAGAAATATCATAACCTTATAACCTTCCTGTGTTTTAAGATTTAAGATTTATCAACATTTCAACAAAACTATATAAGAGACAAAGCATAAGCAATTATAAGCAATGGGCAAATCCATAACAAAATTTGAAGCATAAAAAAATTGTTACATAGAGGAGTCCCAATCCAGAATCTATGAAACAAAAGCCTACTCTTGCCTCCATCCAGTAATCTTGGTGGAAGACCTCCAAATGATGCAAGGGAAAGACATTCCCTCCTTGAAAGATATCTGGGATGAGTTTTTGTTCTCTAAAATTGAAGAATGAATTTTACGAACAATGGTGAAGCTTTTGGGATCTTATATGCAGAGTATCATGTCATCTGCAAATAGTAATAGTTCAACTTCTTCCTTTTCTATCTTTATTCCTTTTATTTCTTTCTCTTGTCTAATTGGTCTAACTGTTTCCAGAACTATATGGAATAGGAATGGTGATAGTGGACATCCTTGTCTTGTTCCTGATTTTAGAGAGAAATCTTTCAGATTTTGGCTATTAGGTGTGATGCTGGGTGTTGTTTTGTCATAGATGGCTTTTATCAGATTGAGATAAAGACCATCTTCTCCAACTTTCTGTAGGGATTTTATCATAAATGGGTGCTGGAGTTTGTTAGATGCTTTTTCTGTGTTTATGAAATGGTCATGTGGCTTTTGTCATTGGCTCTGTTGATATGGTGCATTACGTTTATTGACGTGCATACGTTGAAACACCCTTGTATCCCTGGGATGAATCCAACATGGTAATGGTGTATAAACTTCTTGATGATTTGCTGCATTCTGTTTGCCAGTATCTTATTGAGGATTTCTGTATGTATACTCATTAAGCAGACTGGGCCTGCAATTCTCTTTTTTGGCTGGATTCTTCTCTGGTTTGTGTATCAGGGTAATGCTTGCTTCCAGGAATGAGTTTGAGAGTATTGCTTCCCTTTCAATTTCACTAAAGAGTTTGAGGAGTATTGGCATTAGATCTTCTCTAAATTTCTTGTAGAACTTATACAGTGAATCCAGCATGACTTGGGCTTTTCTTTGTTGGTATTTTTAAAATTACTTCTTCAATTTCATTGACTGATATTGAGTTATTTAGAATTTTTATATGTCCTTGATTCAGTTTTCAAAGAACAAACTCTTCCATTCATTGATCATTTTTTTTCTTAGTCTGAATTCAATTAACAGAAGTTAGTGGTCTTTATAATTTCTTCCCTCATAGGCACTTTGGGTTTAACTTGCTCTTCTTTCTCTTGAACCTTGAGATTCATGATTAGGTTATTTATTTGAGCTTGCTCTGGTTTTTTGATGTAGGAATTCACTGCCCTAAAATTTCCTCATAGAACTGTTTTCATTGTGTCCCATATGTTCCAGTATGTTGTATTAGCATTATCATTTAATTGTGAAAACTGTCTTATTTCTTCTTTAATTTCATCTGTGACATATTAGATGTTGTCTCTGAGCTACACCTCCAGGCACTCAAATTTCTAATGTATTAATTTTCCATTAATTTCTAATGGAAAATACAAAGAATAAAACATGATTGAAACTTAATAGAAAGGGTGTTACATTTTGGTTGCCTAAAAAAAGAAACCAACACTATTTTTATTTCTAAAGGTAACTGGGAAAACTTAGAGTCTGTTTGTAGAGACACCTTTGTAATTTTGGTTTTTTTTTTTCTTTTTAAACTTTAGGGACAAAATTAAACTGATACCCTACACTGGTACTTTTATTCTCTCAAATTTTATGGAACTCATCAAGCAGATATGGACTTGGCTAAGCTGAAGAGGAACATGGCTTCCGGTCACCTGACTTTGAAACAAGTTGATAAGGTTCTTTCATTCACTTATCTACTTTAAGAGGTAGCAAATGTTCTTACGTGGAGTGGCAAAGCGTATTGTGACTTTTTGGCTCTTTAGGATGTGTGAGTTCCTTCATAAAGAACAAGGTCAAATTGACATTTTCCTTAGTTGCACACTGTAAACATTAAGTGGAACTTCCCAAAGAGATAGAGAATTTTGAAAACTCCTAATTCCATTACTTACAAGTTTATTTTTTGACTCCTGTTCTCCAATGTAGTATATCATTGGAGCTCCTAAAGAGTTGTCTGCCACTAACCATGTTCAATATTATTCTTTGAAGCGACTAAATTTTAAAGTCTACATTTATCTTAAGCATTCATTGAGAGCAAATACTTGGATGAATCAATCATTCTTTCACTTTGGGGTTATTATCACTTGTCTTTCTAGCCATTCTGGAAGATATTTTGCAATTGATTCTTTCTCAGGAAGATCTCTGTTTTGATTCTTTCTTAGGAATTGATTCTTTCTTAGGGAGATCTCAGAAAAACTCTGGAAGATAAATGACATAAAATCTTTTCAAAAGGCACAGCTATTCTGCTTCCAATAGTAATTAGGACATTTCTTCCTTTGGGTACATTGTGTATATAATGGGGGTAATGGCTCTTGGAAGAGCAAAATAGTAAAAGGACAAGTGTGGACTCAATGAAATAAGAAAGGTTTTGCTACCTTTCAAGTTTTAATTATAGGACTGGGGAAATAAATGATTAATGGTAGTGATGTAGACTTTTCTTTAGAGGTTTGTTTACTTTGAAGGATTGTTTGCTCTCCTAAATACTTCAGATTTTCTTTCAAAAGTACATTTCTATTTAATGTATATGTTATAAATTTATAGCCCTAGAGGAGAAGTTGAAATGTTGTTTAATTCATAATATTTCTTCACAATCTAGTATTTAACTATGTCAGAAATATAGTTGTCTACTGTTTACTTTAAGACCTGAAAAGAAGATGACACACAGAGTTTTTTTTACCTAATTCATCGTATTTCTGTACATGGTAGCATTAATTATTTCAGAATGATAGTTGACTGCTAGACATTTGTTGGATACTTGTAGACATTTGAGCAATATTCTCTTATGCAGTAATATGCACAAGTAAACATACACACACAAGTACTGGTTTAAGTCTAGGAAGACTGTATCTAGTTGAATCTTCTGAAATTTTAATTATGGTATGGCTCCCTATGCATGTACTTTGCTTTTAAAATTAAAATTACACACACACACTCGCACACATCACGTTTTGCTATTCTTCCTGTGCCAGTATCTAATCTTCGTTAATTTTTTTATTTTAAAAATAAAAGAAGAAAAACATTAACAAATAGACAACCATTTACAAAATAGCAAAAGAACAGTACAAACAATACAGAGTTACAAACAAAGTGGTAGGAAATTAACGATGCTTGTTGTATTGCATATTGATATCTTCAAAGTGCTTTCTCAGGATCTTCGTTAATTTTTATTGCAAGCTTATCTCTGTCTTCCTGAGAAACCACTTTGAAGATACCACCACGTATTACAGCAGCCATTGATATTTTCCTATCAATAACTGTGTTATTTGTAATGTTCCTATC